GTCACCGAGGTCATGGCCTCAAGTCTCAAGGTTGTCATAGGTAGGTAGTGTCGGAGAAATGGATGTATCTAGATGTATTCTAGTTCTAGATGCATCCATTTTTATCCATTTCTCTGACAAGTATTTCCACACGCTCACAGGCAGCTCTATTGATATCCTACTCTCCAAGCATGGAGATAAATGACTGAAGATCAATGTCCAAAACCTGAAGATAAATGAATGACTGAAATTTCTGTTGCAGGGACAACACTGAACTATTTTCTGGACGGCCGGATCAACAGGGCAGAGGTTCTCTTCCCCGGCGTCGGATGCTTTCTGATTGCAGCCTGCCTGGGCTCACTTGTTCACTCCTCCAATGCTGCTGACAACCAGGAGAAGCTATCAAACTCCAGAAACTACTCTGCTGGGTACAATCTCTGCTTCCTTCGTTTCCCAGAATTTTACCCTTAGATATCTGAATATTTTGAGTGACAAGTATCCTCTTTGGCTAATCTGAAGATCACTTCCGGTTTTCGCCCGGTTTTCCGTAATTAACTGGGCAATTCTTTTCTGCTTAATTAATAGATGAGGCAATCTTTGCCTCCGTTTCGAAAAAAAATATATCTGAAGATCACTTTGCTGAATTCCTCACAGGAACACTGCAAAGGAAGATCTCACCCAACACCTTGTTCAAGAAGAAGGTAACAACTTGTGCATCATTAATCAGATGAAAATGATGATCTGCTGGTCTTCTTAATAAGAATCTTTCAATCGAGAACAGAGGAACCAAAGGATTGTGAAGAAGCACTACCAAATAATAAGGCTGTGGAGAAAGCCGAGGCAGGAACAGCAGATTTCCTCATCGATCTGGAGGACAAGAGATCAATCAAGGTTCTTGGATCCAACACGCTGGCGGGGCTGGCGATCGTGACGTTCGCGGGGGTGTGCTACTCGCTGTTCGCGCCGGCGTTCAACCTGGCGACCAACGACCAGTGGCACACGCTGCGCGACGGCCTGCCGCACCTCGTGGTCTACACCGCCTACTTCTACTTCTGCCTCTCCTCCCTCGTCGTCGGCGTGGCGCTCAACGTCTGGTGCCTCTACCGCCCCATGGCCGGCGTGCCGCGGTCGACGCTGCGGGCGTACGCCGGCGACCGGGAGGGGAGGGGGCTGGCGCTGCTGGCGGGGCTGGTGTCCGGGCTGGGCAACGCGTTCACGTTCATGGCCGGGCAGGCGGCCGGGTACGCGGCGGCGGACTCCGTGCAGGCGCTGCCGCTGGTGAGCACGCTCTGGGGCGTGGTGCTGTTCGGGGAGTACCGGAGGTCGTCGCGGAGGACCTACACGCTGCTGGGGAGCATGCTCTTCATGTTCGTCGTCGCCATGGCCGTGCTCATGGCCTCCTCCGCGCACAGGAAGCCGCTCTGACGCAACCACTGCTCATGCATCATCAATGCATGGCAACCGGGACCTTGTGTAGCAAAGACAGAGAGGCTACAATAGTAAGCTCTTCAACGAGGATGGATGTTGTGTAATTTGGACAAGTGCGATGTATGTCACATCTTTTTTTTAATGATCCTAATCTATGATCGAAGTTCGTCGGAAGTAAAAAGTACCTCAAACATAATAAAAATTACATCGATATTTTGAGATCATCAAAAGACCACTACCGTCGCCTTAGCAAGCCGCTCTCCTACCAAAGCCGGCTTGACCTTTTCTTTTGCGTGGAACTTCGGGGCTTCTTATTCAACAAATGCGGACCTAGCACAGTCAGCCATGAGGCTGCTATGTAGGAAAGAGGGTACACGATCCTGCCAGCTCTCGGTCACCTCCAACGAACAAGCTCGTTTTGCACAAAGGTGAGCCAGGAGATTCGAAGATCTATTAATATGCTGAATAGTAAAAGAACTAAAAACTGAAGCTAAGTCCCAAATTTCCAGTAGAAGAGGAGCCACAACAGAATGTGAGTTATGGCGGGTATTCCATATGTTTATTAGCAAAATATGGTGAGTTATGGCGAGTCCCCAATTTTCAGTAGAAGAGGAACAAAAATGCTTATCAGCAAAATAATGCAAAGAAGTCAAGATCACCCCTTAGGCACAAGTTTGAAGACATGCATTGGCAGAGGGAGAATTATTCATCTTCACATCCTCCTTTTGGGCCATCAATGCCAATGTCTACCTCCATATGGTAATTTTCTATATCCTTATTCATCTTCATATCCTCCTTTTGGGCCATCAATGCCAATGTCTACCTCCATATATGGTAATTTTCTATATCCATCACGAGACAGGCATGAATTCAAAGACATATTTTTATCTTATTTTAGACCATCTCTCTAAAATTATACAGCTCCAAGAGGATCAAAAAATTGATGAAAAATCATACGCTTCAATCATATATAAGGGAACGATCTGGAGCTCAAGAGACAAGAAATAGGTGTTCAAGCAAGTTTACCGTGTTACAAAAGATGATCGTAAATGTGCTACTTCAGATCTAATGTACTCCTTCCATTCCTAAATATAAGTCTTTTTAAACATTTTAAATGGACTACAATATACGGATGTATGTAGACATAGTGTAGATTCACTCATTTTGCTCCGTATGTAGTCACTTGTTAGAATCTCTATAAAGACTTATACTATTTGGGAACAGAGGGAGTAAAATGAAAAAAAAGCCAAGTAAGATGTCAACATTAGCTACTAAAAGCAAAGAGATGATACAACCAACCATTGAAAATCAAAGTGCCAAATCTAAGGAAAATGAGTTAAGAGAATAAAATTTGTCATTGCTTGAAAAAGAATCACAGACGAGGCGTTCACTCAGGTCTTCGAATTGTAAAAAGAATAAATTGCAAACACTTAGTGCACAATAACATGAAAAAAAGAACATGTCATGGGTTCCCAATAGGAGTGGTGAAAATAAGAATGATGCTCAAGCTTGTGTTACAAGAAGCGCAGTAAAAATGAAGAATGGAGCTAATAAGCAATTAAGCCAAATCTTTGCATTGGCCCATCAAGATCTTTGGTTTGCACACCATCCATATTCTTCAACCATGCTATTGATGCATATGCCGTGGAACTCATCCCCAAATATAGTCGATTACCATCCATGGGCTTATTTTGATCCATGGATGCAATATAATTTCTTACAATATGAAGGGGCGTTACCAGATCAATATTATTTGATCAGCGAAAACTTTGTTCATATTATTTCATTCATTTTCTCACATGCTTTGGTGGATAGAGTTTACACGATCCTAAAAAGGCAATGGCTGATATATATACTTATCACAATAAGCACCCGGGGCCCCATATATGTAGCCACGCACGCCTACACTTTCCCATCAACGCGACCCCGTCCCCGTTCCCGTGCCCGCGTCGCCCTTCGCCGCCGCCCGACCCGATCTCCCGTACGACGCTAGGGTTTCCGCCGCCGCCGCCGCGGGTGTCTTTCCGCCGTATGAGCAGCAGCCCCGCCAACCTGGACCGCCGGCACCGTCACCGATCGTACCCCCATGTCGTCCAGGAAGACCGCGGGCCCGTCCCGCGCCGCCGCCGGCGGCGCGAAGAAGGTGGCTAGTGGCGCGCGGGGCGTGAGCCTCCGGGCGCTGCGGGAGGGGCTTGCTCGCCAGAAGGAGGAGGAGGAGCGCAGGGCGCGGGAGCAGGAGCTGCAGGCGCAGGCGGAGGAGGAGAGGGGGCGGCGGGAGGCGGAGGAGGAGGAGGAGAGGAGGAAGCTGAGGGAGCAGGAGCTGAAGCGGAGGGAGGAGGACAGGCAGCGGAGGCGGCTGGAGGAGAGGAAGCGGGAGGAGAGCCGGCGCGCGGAGGAGGCGCGCAGGCGGCTCGGCATCACCGCCCCCCTTGTTGAGGGCGGCGGTGCTGCTGGTGTGGATGATGGCCGGAAGAAGCGGCCGGTGTATCACTCCAGGAGACCTGCGTTGAAGCCCAAGACTGTCGAATCTGAAGCTGATGTGGGAGGAGACCAGGGCTCGAGCGGTGTTTCGCAAGAAGAGGAAAACAGCGCCGCCCTCAATGAGGCGCTCAAATTGGGGGAGGGATCAAGCGATGGATCATTGGAAGAGGACAGAACAGCAATCGGTGATGATGATGATGAGGAGGAGGATGCTTGGGATAGCAAGAGCCTCGATGAATTTGATGTCATGTCTGCTGCTGGCAATTCTCACTCATCTGGTTCTGAAGAAGATATCAAAGAGAAACATGTTATCTCCACTGCTCCGGTCGTTAATCCAGACAATGCAGTCAATGAGATTGTGGAGGATATCTTCGACACTCAGGATGTAGCTTCAGGAGATGAAAAGGAGCTTCGGGCACCGATATGCTGCATCCTTGGGCACGTGGATGCCGGAAAGACGAAGCTCCTCGATTGCATCCGGGGCACCCATGTGCAGGAGCGGGAGGCCGGGGGCATCACACAACAGATTGGCGCCACCTACTTACCGGCTGAAAACATCAGGGACAGGACGAGTTTAAAAGCTGAAACCGCCATCAAAGTTCCTGGTTTGCTCGTGATTGACACCCCTGGCCATGAGTCCTTCAGTAAAATGCGCTCAAGGGGATTGAGTATGTGTGACGTCGCCGTGGTTGTCGTCGATATTATGAAGGGTCTTGAGAAGCAGACAGTTGAATCCCTCCATCTTTTGAGACGCCACAATGTGAGCTTCATTGTCGCCTTGAACAAGGTTGACCGGCTCTATGGGTGGAAGGAATGTACCAATGCACCAATAGTCGAGGCACTCAAGAAGCAATCTGATGACGTCAAAAGGGAATACAAATGGAGGTTAACTAAGGTATTTTCCCTTGTGACGTTCTGTGCATCTCTTTGGTTATGCCGAATTTGCATTGAACTACAGGTGGTTTCTTTGAAATTTTCTGATGATTCGATTGTTTGTAAACAGGTTGTAACAGATTTTAAGGAAAATGGCTTCAACACTGCTCCTTACTATGAAAACAATAAGAAGAAAAAAGTGGTTAACATTGTCCCGACCAGTGCTGAAAGGTGTGACAACTAGCACATATATACTTCGTTGCTTATGTTTTAAGTTTCAGTTTCTCCTATGTTATTTGCAGTTTTAGCCTTTGACAATATTTTACTGTATTATCCTCCAGCGGTGAAGGTGTGCCAGATCTTCTACTGCTACTGGTGCGATGGCTGCCTGACATAATTACAGATAAGCTGGCCTATGACGATACAGTAGAGGTTGGTTCGTTAAACATTAATCCATAACTCTCTCTACTGAAGTTAATCATTAACCTAATGTGACATCTTCTCCACATATGTTTGTTCAGTGTACAGTACTAGAAGTCAATGAACATAAAGATTTGGGAACTACTGTTGACGTAGTACTGATTAATGGTGTGCTGCGCCAAGGGGATCAAGTAATTGTTTGCACTAAACAGGTATATAAAGTTTATGAAATTTGAGATTTGCATGCTACCTTGAATGCTGCATCAACGATTTCATCTCTGACTTTAACCTTTACATCTTTAGGGGCCTGTTACAACCATTATTAGAGATTTGTTGACCCCTCATCCAATGAAAGAACTCAAAGCTAAGGTGAGTCCACACTTATTTTCTTCTGTGCATTCATATTTTTCTTGTTAGTTCTGGGAACAAGAATTCTGGATACTCTGTTCGAACGACACAAATTTTAACACATATTGGCATGTTTTTTTATCAGTGTTTGATTGTTGGAAAAATATGTCAATTATGAAATTTATGATGTACAATTTTATTTTTTGCTTCTTGGCCTATTTTTGAAGAACCATATTTCTTTCGATCGGATGGCTGTTCATCGCATATATTATTACAATTTGTTAAGTTCCCCACCGCATATATAATCATAATATCTTCAAAATTTAGGATCCATAATCAATTGCTTCTGACCACCAGGATATTATATTTTTTATTGCTCACAATTGGTCTCTTTAATGTTCTCTATCCAGAAATCCAAGATTTCTGTGCAGTCGCACCATTTTCAGTAGTTGAATTGGTCTGTGGTATCCTGCTGAGACCATAAATATCATATATCATGTGTGTATTGACTTGTCCAGAACACTGTTATACGTCCTACCCTTCATTGGAGCATAAACATGTGCACTTGTAACCCAGATGAATTTTGGATTGAATTTACAAAGTCTTGCTTGCTGGCATATTTTATATAGTTCTTAAATTTCATGAAGCCTGTGTACTCTGTTTAAGGTTTTGAGTTTTTGACTGAGATATGGCAACTCAATAGTAGAATTTCTGAGACTGAGTTCACAAAAATTTCGAATGTTGTACCTAATGTATCATCATTTCTGTTCCTCCAGGGTGCATATAAGCATCACAAGGAGGTCAGAGCTGCGCAGGGGGTAAAAATTGTGGCACGGGTGAGTTTCATTTCCATTGCCATGCCTTATGAATGTTGGAATCCGTTGTCAAAAAATTCATTGCTTATTTGTATTTCTTCAGGGACTTCAATATGCAATGGCTGGCACTTCTCTCATTGTAGTGAAGCCAGGGGATGATTTGCGACAAGCTGAAGCAGCTGCAATGCAAGAGATTGATATGGCCATTAGAACGACAGATGAGAACGAAAAGGGAACAAAAACTCAAGAAGTTAGTAGTATCAAGACTTGCAAGGAGGGCATCTATGTGCAAGCTTCCAGTGTTGGAACTTTGGAAGCTATCATTGCGCACTTGAAGAGCAGTAGTGTGGACATTCCTGTTTATGCTTGGAACTTAGGACCCGTGTACAAGCAGGATGTCATGAAGGCAAGTGCCATGCTGAAGCGGAAAGAAGAGTATGCAGTCATCTTGGCCTTTGACGTCAAAGTGATGCCTGAGGCTAGTGCCCTTGCAGCTGAATCAGGGTTGAAGATTATTACTGCTGATACGGTATATAGGCTCGTCAACATCTATACTGAGCACATTAAGGGATTGAAGGAAGCGAAGAAAATGCAATTTGCAGCTGAGGCAGTTTTCCCATGCACCCTGAAGATTCTGCCAAACCGTGTCTACCATAGCAAGGATCCAATTGTTTGCGACGTTGAAGTTGTGGAAGGTGTCGTCAAGGTACATCTTTTAGTTATGTGTTGTCAAGTGTATCATCGATTCGAAATGATTTGATCTTGTTGCTGATGTTAGTAATTGATTTCTTGACTGTGTCTCAGGTGGGAACCCCGATATGTGTCTTCACCCCGAGCAAGGATAAAAGCAAGAATATAATAGTTCATAGCCTCGGGAGGATCTCCTCCATGCAAACGTCCAATGGCAATCAGATTTTCTCGGCCAGGAATGGAGTTGTGGCCATAAAGGTACATGCTAGTGCATACATAAGCATGATATTGTAGTTGTGGCAATTGCAACATGAAAGTTGAAAAAGCTTATAACAATTGCCATCACCTCTGCCAGATAAGCGGTGACAGCCCTCAGGAGAAATCCCGGTCTTATGGATGGCATTTTGATTCTAGCAATGAGCTGGTCAGCGAGATCTCGAGGAGATCCATCGATGTGCTCAAAGAGTGCTTTCGGGTAAATACGCTCGCGATTCCATAGTTCATTTAACATAGGGCAATCTTTTAACCCTTACTCTCTTAACACTTCTGAATGGTCTTGTTACAGGATGAAATGAGGGCTGAAAATTGGCAGCTTATCAGCAGGCTGAAGACACAGTTCAAGATAGCCTGAAGCGCTGGGAGATTTTTATTTTACCATAGTTTCTTTTCTCCATTCTTTTCCCTTTCTGTTCTGTGCCTCAAGACACTTAGAACTATGTGGGCTTATCGCTTATGTATTGGTTTTTCAGGTCGGAATGATGAAAGTCTTGGAACACATATTTACCTATATTTGCAATTTTGTAAAGCTCAGAATGTTGAACCTGGAGATGCTTTGGATTGCTTCATTCGCTTGTTAGTTTGTGTTCAGTTGATGTCGTGCTGTGACCTCGATAAAGTGAATTCTGCAATTACTGTGAACATCTAACCCAATATGCGTCGGGAGAGGGGCGTGCTCTCGTGATGTCCATGTTGGATTAGCTACAGACAAAAAGGACCGGCAGCTTGCCTTTCGATGCCTCACCGTGTCGTTTGCTTCGTCCAGAAGAAAGATAGAGTAGGAGGAAATCGCCCCCACCCCTTCTCCCTCGACGCATGCTTAGGGTTGCCACCGCCTTGGCCCAAGGCCAGACGCCGGCCACCGGAGAAGGAGAAGGAAGCAAACTTGGCATCCAGTTGTCCACGCCTCCTCTTGGCCCAGACACACTGCCGCCTCGTCTCCTGCACCTTTCTCTCTCGACACGGATCCGCTTAGTCTGCGCCGCTAAGGGCAGCCGTTCCAGATCCAACCAGGTACCACACATCCTACCTTTTCCAACTGACGAATCTATTTCCTTGACCAGATCCGCTCTGTAGCTCTTCTCCTGCCTTTGCAATTTGCATGCTCTTCTGCTTCTACTTCTCTAAATCATGGTGGGCACTGTCCATGGAGGTTCAGATGAACCAATCTACTTTGAGCAGTGCATGTGACAATAACAGCTCTCCCCTTTTTCTTTACATGTTTTATAATCTGCATATTTTGTTGTAATGGCTGCAGTAAGGCAGCAACAGAGTTGAATCGCTCAATATATGCTACCATAGGGAGTTGATGCGAGGGAGTTGGAGGAATGACAGGTGTTGACTTATATTCGAAACTCTGAATTTTACTGATTCATGTCTTAGCCATCTATCCCTTAATAGGTTTGCACCTAGGTTCAGTTCTCCTTGCCATGAACAATGCAGTGATTGTTCCTGGTTCTAGAAAATATTGCAAGGAATTTTTGCTAGGCATGAATCAAGAAATGTGGCATTTAGATATGTGAGCAACCATCTATAAAATACTATGTGTATCGAACTATTAAAGAAATTATCATCTTCTAATCTCCTTATTTTGCAGATTTTGTATGCTCCTCACCCGGGTTGAACGGCTGCATCCACCTGTTGTTATGGTAGTGGAATCCCTCCAATTACATCAAGAAATATAGTTATTGGTTTATCTGATGGGGATCCTAATTGTAGCACCCTAGGCTGGACTTCTCAAGGGTGAACATACTGATGGTTGGTAACCAACCTAATGATTGATGGTGTTATCATGAGGAGGCAATGGACCAGCGGCGGCGTGATTCAAAAGTAAGTTCAGAATTCAGATAGCCTCTGATATTTGATTCTTCTTTTGAATCTAAAATACCAGTCTTTGTGTTGTATCCAATCTACTGGATTAGAAATAGTTAGAAAACTATCACATGATTTTGATTGCACACTGTCCAATGGACGTAACAAGATTAGGTACTTAGGTTGGTTAATACAACTCATTCTGCCATTTTATCGACAATAACCATTAATTATGATTCATTTCGATCCTGTTTATATACAGGAAGCTTATGCTGTATCTCTTTCAGCAAATGTATTTCCCTCAATTATCTCTTTCAGAAGAAAACAAGAATCTATAATCCTCATGATTTTCAAGTCGTGTTTAGAGGCACAAATTATACCAGAACGGCCTTGCAAGGAAATCATGTTTGCCAAACTGCACTGCAAGATGTTGGAAACCCTGTCAAAGCTTGAATTTGAAACCTTTGTTGAGCTCACCCAAGTAAATTTACACAGGGAGGGGAGTGCAATTAATCAGAAGCAGAGCATATCATTCCAACATCACAATGAATCTACAGCAGAAGGAGAGCAAATTTTTGAGAATGCATCTTTTCCCCATTTTATTAGTTATTCTATACCTAGCAGTTTACTTTGCAAGTGTGCTTTCAAGCAGCTGGTTCAACTTCTAGAAGGATAGACATGCAATATTTTAGGTAATGTAGATCAAAATATAACTGCACATCGCACAAGCAAGGTGCACATGGATATTCAACGGGTGTGCCTCACACTAGAGGCGGAGGCAGGAGTGCCCAAGCCACGACACCGAAAACCATGAACTCCAACTACAAGCTGCTCAAAAGGCATAAATGGCAATCCATACATAAATACTAGCTAGATAGAACTTCAGTTCAGTTTACATCACTGAATCTCCGTGCACTGCAGCTGCTACTGGTATGTAATCCGCACTCTAACTTGACCATGGTGGCATTCTCCATGGTTAGCACTGCAGATTATTTTTTCTTCAAACTGGTCACGGTAAAATGTAACATTGTCACGGAAGGCCATGGTACGACGAACACCGTCATCATGATCACAATGGATTGGAACATGCAGGTCGAACTTGAGCATCAGGAGCGGCTCCAAGTATACAGGAACAACTGCACACCTCCGTAACAGTGGAAGTTCACCATCAACGACCTCCGCTTTGTTCTCCTCTCCACAAGAAAAGAGCAAGACACTCCGGCCGTTGTAGAGCTGATGGTGCGCGGTGATTTCACCATAGACATGGTAGACGGCGCCCGTCCTCGTGGCATCATCGCAAGATAGGAAATCAAGGTTGACATGCACATTGGCCTGTATGGCCGAGTGCGTTGCCATGAATGTCAATTCTATTTTGCGGTTGTGTGTAACCGAGATGACGCGGGTCATGACATTGTTGCAAACGTATGGGTCGACCGTGAAGGAGAAGGAATGACAAGCATCATGATCTATTGTGCCATCATCCTCTATGATTTTGAGTTTGACCCAGAAGGTGTCGGTAAGGGCACCGCCTTCTAAGTGAAGGGTCAATTTGTTCTGCACATGTATTTTTGTTAGCATCATATAATTAACAACTCAGAAGGAGATACAAAAAATAGAAAATATCAAATATTGCGTACCTTTAAATCGACACTGTGACAATCCTTTTCTTCTTGGGAGGCCCAGTAGTAGGAATGAGCATTGGTTGCAAATAAGGTGCCCACGAAGTGGAAGCAGGGCCGCACGGCAAATAGCTCCACCCGGTACTGAGAAAAGGAGTAAGCCGCGCGTAAATTATCACTGTCTCCATCATAGGAAATTCCATGACTTGGGGGTGGCAACTCCCTATCGATATCGTCGTCACTGCTGCCGTAGATTTCATGGAACACACCATCATCGCCAATGTTGTCATGGTACCAGCCATCATCGTCATCATCTTATATACTGCTGCCAACGCTGTCATCATCAGCATTTTTGTGATGGCAGTCGCCGGAATATTCTTTTTATTCTGTTCCCTTCATCGTAGCATCGACGGCTTCTCCTTCCTTTTGGGTTTCTCTTGCAATTTCCTTTACCGATCCTGGATTAACAAGTCGTCGAAGAATAGTAATGAATGATTCTAGCGGGCTAATCAATAGTGCTTCAACCGATCTACGTAAATCTCGTGAAAGTTTACTTGGCCTAGCTAGCTAGCAGAATCAAGATAATAAGGGCGGATGCAGGAATAATCGTAGTACCTGCAGATCGCACAAGATGGCCCTCAAAGATGACCCTCCAGCGACAACGGCCAGTGACATACCGCTCACGCCCTTGGCTTGGTTGGCGGTAGAGCTTCGCGGGTAATGAAACCCTAGCTAGATCGAGCAGGCGGTGCTTGCCTTTCTGATGGACCATTCTGCATCCAATATATTGACACATCGTTGCTCTTTCGTTTCTGAATATTTTTGAACCAGCTGAGAAGTACTCAAAATCTTAAAGCATAAAGGCGTGAACATCCTAGGCACAAAATAATCATGCACCGAAGATACTTCATTACAAACCATGCATGATATGACACCGACACCAAATACTTCAAGCAGCCGTCCCATGTACAGAAATGATGAGCCCTGTGGATTAAACATCGATCATCAAAGCATGAAGCTTCTAGCGTCACGAGAAGAAAAAGGGCAGAAAATAAGCTTGGGAAACATGTGGGTGCATCATGCCATACATTTGTCAAGGAGATAACAAGCCAACCGATGATATTCTGAATCGCCGCCATGGCGCCATCGTTAACGACTGAAAATTCAGTAGGCATGTCCATTACGCTGTTATTGGAGGATAAAGGAATAGAACTTCGGTGTAGTCAAGCACTGATTTGTTGCAACTTGCAAGCATATGACATGAACAAAATGCTGAACTTTTTTCAGAAAAAATCTTCACCTACACATTTTCTGCAACACCAATTTGCCATCTGGCCGCTGCCGATGGCCCCGACCATGGCACCGACGTTGGACAGCGAGCCGAACGCCAAGATCTGCATCACACGCAGGCACCAAGTTACTCAACATTTTTAGTCCAAGAAGTCGAATAGAGCAAGCATAGAGGCTCCAGGCACAGCCGTGGGGAAGGACCTGGGAGACGGAGAGGTCAAGGTCGCGGATCATGGCGTCCTGGGTGGGGGAGGAGAAGCAGCAGGTGAAGCCGAACTGGATCAGGCCGGCGGAGTTGAAACACAGGTTTAGGGTTTTGCATGAGTGGTTGAAGTCTACCCCAACTTGTTTGGGACTAAAGGCTTTGTTGTTGTTGTTGTTGTATGAGTGGTTGACATCCAGCCTCACGTCTCAATATATAGATGATCACAATTACAATCACATACGTATACAAATACGTGTACAAGGACAATATACTAGAACCTACTTTACATGTCCCCTCAATCTGAACTACATACAAGATTCAGATTGGTTCTAAAACGATCCAGCATCTCTCTAGTAGCGGGTTTAGTAAATACATCCGCTCACTGGTCATTTATAGAAATAAACCTGACTTCCAACTCACAAGCAGCTA